CTCCTTTGGGTGCGACTGGAAAGGCCGCCGAGAACGGATGGGTGGGTTGGATCGGAGCTGCAGCACCGCCCTAGGCCGCCTCGTTGGGAATTTGAAAAGACCCGGTGGGGAGGCTGGGGTCGTGCGGGCTTCGGAGACGTGGGGGAGACGTTTTAGGAAACGCTTTGTACTGCGTGATCGGGGTGCGGGCTGCCTGTAAAAGGCTGGGAAGGAACGCAGTCCGTGAGCACCCGCCCTTCTCTAAGGAGACAGACACTCTGGAGCTGACAGCCTCAGCGCGAGCGCGCTCACGCCCGCGTCTCTGCTCTTCACCTGCGTCCGGGCGGAGCTGGTGAGTGGAACGACCGCCTGCGTCTGCGGGCGCAGAGACCCCGGAGGCGCGTCTTAGCAATACAGCGCTGGGCATTCAGTAAGGTTTCCTATGTCGGACTCGAAAGTTTCCCCACTTGGCTAACGAGACTTTTACTTTTCCTATGTGCAGGGCCAGACTGTTTTCCCCAAGCTGCAAACCACTGGAGGCAGCTCCTTTCCCTGGAGTTGTCAGAGTGGGAAAGAAAAAAAAAAAAAAAAGAAGCCCATAAGCCACTGGCCCTTACCCACAAACTTAAGTGAAGGTGACTGGCCCCCTCCCTGAAGCTAGGACTGTGTTGGGGGCTCCGATACCCTGACCTGGTGGCAGTGGAGGGCAGATGGAAAGGGGTTGGATGAGAGAGCTGGTTGGAATTGTTTCCAGATTTGCCTGTTACAATCAGCCCTGCATAGTCCTCTTTATAGTTGAAGTAATGTATTTCCCCCAATTTTTACATTTCTGAAACCAGAGTGCATCCTGCCTGTGTGAAAACACACCTATGTGATTGTTGTCTGTTGGGATACTTGAACTCTAAACTCAAATCTCCAGTTGCTTTTAAAATAACTTTAAAAGATTATGATGCAGCATGAGATTAAAAGATATTTACTCTGATGAAGAGTTCAGTACATACACTACAACCCTATGAAGTTCAATTACTATCCCTATTTAATACATGAAGAAATGGAAGCTCAGCGAGCTGACTTGCCTTAGACATTTCAAATGCAAGTGTCAGGCATCAGGCAATAGCTGTGCGTCCTTGTCTTTAGCGATTGTGTGTCTTTGGCAGTGTGCATATGTGAACTGGGAAAATGAGCCACATTCAAGAACACTGATTGTACTTATCCCCACATTGAGGCCAAGTCATTGTTCCTGGATGTTTGGTAGTTTTGTTTTATTTTTTTTAAAGATTTATTTATTTATGCATACAGAACTGGGGTACAGGCCAGAGGCTCAGGGGCGGTGAGAGGCTTCACCAGAGACAGAGTGGGGAGCAGAACAGGCAGATCGACGAAGTACACTGCTGAGGGGAGCAGTGGGCGTGTCAGGAGAGGTCTGCCACACCATGTAGGTCACCTATGGGGCTGGGGATCAAACTCGCACTGAAGCAGCTGCAGCCAGCTTACAGTGCTGCCCTTTAAGTCTCTGGGCCACCAGGGAGGGCCCCGTTTGCAGTTTTGAATCTTTTCTGCAGGTTCTGGAGTTTTGATGGTATGGCGGGGGTTCTGCTTCCCTCCTCTTCTGCCTTTTACTCTTCTAGGACGTAGAGGCATGCACTCCATGCTACTCAAGGACTATCTTCCAAGGAGGCAGTACTTCATCTAAGAGGGGAGCCAGATTTTCGAGCGGTTAAGTCACACCATCCTTCAGGAGCCCCCAGATTTGGTGCCTCAAGGACCCACCCAAGTCCAGCTGGCAGAGGTCTATGGTCAGAGAAGGATCACACAACGGTGAAGCCTGTCATCAGGGTGCTGACAGTTTCTTCGCCAGAAGCAGACCAGCCCAAGCAGGCGGGCGCCATGCTGCAGCGTCTCCTCATCACCCTGCCCGCAGAGGCCGGCACCTGGGTGAAGCTGCACCACCCCAACAAGGCCAAGGAGGGGGCACCTCTGTGGGAGGATGTGACTAAGTTGTTTGAAAGAGAAGGTGAGAATACACTGCTATGGGTGGGGGAAAAGAGGGTCACATTTGTGTGTGAAAGGACAGGTAGACACTTCAGCACGGTGGTCTTTTAAGGAGGAAGGTGGGGGGAAGCAGGGATTGGGGATCTACTCCTGAGCCTTTTGAAGGGAAAGCTGGGAGAGGAAACACTGGAGGACCCCTCTTGGAGGACGCCAGTGATGGGAACTATACTGCAGGTAGACTGTAGATACCTTGAAGTCTATGGGAAGTGCTGGGATTTTTCTTTTTTTTCTGCAACCTTTGAGCAAAGGAGTGATCTGGCAGAACTGTGCTTTTGGAGCAGCAGTGGCCACTGGGAAGTGGTAACACCCAGCCAGTGCACTGTGGGTCTGCAGGAGCTTCAGGCTCTTTGAGTTGCTCTGAGTGCCACTCAGGTGACCGTACTGAGAGAGGAGCCAGGCGCGGTGTGTCTGCAGGCTGTTTTCCTCTTGGGATTTGGGGAAACGCAAATCGTGACTCTTTGCCTTCTCTAGCTCTGCTATCTAAAGATGCTGATGAGGCCCAAGGAGAAAGTTTATTGAATGCAGTAATTCCTGGACCTCTGATAGCAGAACCTCAGGTGGGTTGAAATTTTCTCTTATTTTCTTGACGTGCTCCTTGGTTTTATTTATTTATTTTTAATAATATAATAGTTTATTTTTACAACATTTTGTTCTTTTTTCCATCTCAGTTGTAATCCTCATGGGGCTCCTTGGCTTTTTTTTTTTTTTCTTAAGATTTATTTATTTATTCATATAGAGCTGGGGTACAGGCCAGAGATGCTGGAGGGTGAGAAGATTCACCAGAGACAGAACAGAACAGGCAGATCAACGAAGTACACTGCTGAGGGGAGCAGTGGGCGGGTCAGGAGAGGTCTGCCTCGCCATGTGGATCTCCTCCGGGGCAGGCGGGAATCGAACTCATGTGGAAGTGGCTTAAGCTTCTCAGTGCTGTGCTTTAAGCCGCTGCGCCACCAGGGAGGGCCTGGGGCTCCTTGATTTTTAAGGCTATTACTTGCCCTTTTGAGGGAGGGTGAATGTTGATACTAACAGATTCAACCTAGGGAGCTCGGTACAGGTCAGTGTTCTCCAAAGGGGTTGTAAGTGGTGGCAAATGCCAGGCCCATTATGACTAATCTCCACATAATACTGTTTCCAACCAGTCTCTGGACCTAACATTGTGCTGATTTCTATAGAAAAAGAAAAGTAAGTGATATAATTCTAACCCCTAAACACCAACAGATAGCTCTTGGGATGTAAGATATGTCTAAGTTTTGGGGGGGTGTTTTTTATTATAATAGTTTATTTTTACATCATTTTGTGCCTTTTCCCATCTCAATTATAATTCCTGTGGCCTCCCCATCACCAATTCACCTGTGTGCCATCACCATAGTCCCATGTACTCTCCCCCCTTCCCACCATTTTTTATTCCATTCCCTACTTCACCCCTATAAAATGTCTCTGGTATATAGTTGTTCATTATTATCCCCCCCCACTTGTCCTTTATGATCCTGCTATGAGTGAAACCATCTGGTACTTTTCTTTTTCTTTCTGGCTTATTTCACTAAGCATGATCCCTTCCAGCTCCATCCATGTTGCTGAAAAAGTCATGAGTAATATTCCATTGTGTATATATACCACATCTTTTTAACCCACCATCTACTTTTGGGCATTTGGGTTGATTCCATGTCCTCTCTATTAATGTGGGGGTTGCAGGTGTCTTTTTGAATCAGTGTTTTTGTGTCTTTTGGGTAGATACCTAAGAGTGGGATTGCTGGGTTGTATGGCAGCTCCATTGTTAACAGTTTGAGGAACCTCCAAACAGTTTTCCATAGTGGTTGTACTAGTTTGCGTTCCCACCAGCAGTGCAGGAGAGTTCCTTTTTCTCCACAACTTCACCAACATTTGTTGTTGCTTGTTGTTTTAAGATGTGCCATTCTCACTGGGGTGAGGTGGTATCTCATTGTGGCTTTAATTTGCATCTCCCTTAATACAAGTGATGTTGAACATTTTTTCGTATGCTTGTTGGCCATCTGCATTTCCTCTTTGGAGAAGTGTCCTTCCCTAACCTGCCTCCAGCCTTACTGTTTAGACTCATATGCCTCAGGCAAACCAAAGCAGCTCTGCCTTAGCTCCATTCTATCTGCCTGGAACCCTCTTTCCTTAGATTTCCATGCAGCTCTTCCTTGATGAATTCATGTCTCTGGTTTGTTTTAGAAAGACTTTTCCTAACCATCTACATAAAATATGCTCCCTGTCCTCACTATGGCTCTTCCTGTTTTCCTTATCCTGCTTAATATTTTCCTTACATGCTTAATATCATATTTCTTCCTATGTATTAAAATATTTTATCTTTAGAGAGTCTCCAAACAGATTCAGAGGAGGCTCCTAACCAGCTTAGAGTTACCCAGCATTTAGAATACAGTAAGAACACTTTGTACCTGGCTGACAAGGGATATATCTGCTGTTGTAGGACCTGTTGACCTTCAAGGACATCTCTGTGGATTTTACCCAGGAGGAGTGGGGGCACCTGGCCCCTGCACACCGGAATCTGTACCGGGAGGTGATGCTGGAGAACTACGGGAACCTGGTGTCAGTGGGTAAGGTTGGGGGCTAAGCATATAGAAACCTGCCCACTCCTGGAGAGTCATTAGTTACAAATGGTGAAATGTGGATTCCCTGGAGCTTGTGTTAGGTTCCATATTGGAGATGTTGCATTCCTTTGAAAACCAAAGTGGGGCATATCTGATTCTCCTTCCTGGGGGAACAACTTTACATTGTGAAGCTAGAATAGAAAGACACACTGTGGCATCCTTTCCACTTCCAGAGACCCTAAATACCAGAGAGCTAGAACTAAATTCTGATGATGGTTGTTAGAGCTCAACAGAAACATTCTTTTTTTTTTTTTTTTTTTAACTCCTTAAACAGGTTATCAACTTTCCAAACCTAGTGTGATTTCCCAGCTGGAGAAAGGCGAAGAGCCTTGGATGATGGAGAAAGAAGGTCTGGGAGATTCCAGTGCAGGTGAGAACAAGACAGAGTGCCAAGATGAGTGTGTAGGTAGGAGTAGGCCAGGATGCCCAAGTCTTTCCTTTTGTTCCCCTCTAACTTTTCTGAGTTATTCCCATATGTGTCTTCATACTTTTATAATAAGTGCATATCTTTAAACAATGTATAGCTTTGCTTTGTATGCTCTTATTCTTTACATATATAAATGGCACGTATACTTCTTCATTTGCTTTTCTCATTCCATGCTGTTGATATTTATCCATGTTGTTCTAGTTCATACAGTTCCATTGAATTAAAAGACTGCAATTTATCTATTTTTCCAGTTTCTAATTTTGGGGGCTTAAAAAGATGCTGCAATATATCTTTGTGTATTAATCTTCTTGGGTACATATAGGAGTGTTTCTCTGAGATAGCTGGTAGAAGCAAAATTGTATGTGAAGTATAGGCACCTTCATTTGCTTGGTCTTAGCAAATTGCTTTTCAGATCAGTTGTACCAGTTTGTACACTGCAGTCAAGAGGTTTTGAGTTTCCAGAACTCAGTGTCTTTGTCAACACTTGACATTGGGTGTACTGGGTATACATAGTATTTTGCGTCTTTTGTTTTCCGAATACTATTAAGGGAACATATTTTTCATATTTATAAACCATCTATCTGGGATTCCTATTCTGTAAATTACATGTTCTTATTCTTTGCTTACTTTTCTTTTTAAAGACTTATAGACAAAATAGCATCCTATATTTTGAAGTTCTGCTTATTATACGTATGTTTGATCTGTGCAGTGAGGATCTAGTTTAACTCTGTCCATGAGTATAATCAACCAGGAAGCATTTATTTAATAGTTAATGCTACTCTGTCCCTCATCAGACTTCTTGTATGCATGGGTCTGTTGCTAGGTTCTCTCTATTCCATGTTTTTATTTTTCTCTCTAGTGCCAGGCTGTCTTAACTGCTGTGTTTCACAGTGAGACACAATATCAGTTAGAGGTAGTTCTTCAACTTAATTCTTCAAATTTGTCCTGCTCATTTTTAGCCTCTTACTTTACTGTACAAAATACATGAGGGCATCAAATTACACACACACACACACACACACACAGAGTTTAAAGATTAAAGGATCTTTCCATAGAACATACCAACAGTAACATCATAATCTGGGTTATTGTATAAATAATACTTCTAGGGTAGACTATTAAGGATGAAAACAAAAATGCACAAATATTTGTATAATTTTCAGTAAAAGATTAATGTTCTTATAAATTATTCTGAGTTCTCTTGCCTACTATTGTGTGAGTGGGGAGAGGAACATCTTTTAACTTTGCCAAGATTGTTTTCCAAAAGTAACTGCCAATACAAAAAGATATTCTTGATCTATAGCTTTGAATTTTATTATTTAGTATTATTAAAAAGAATAATACTAAAATGTTCAAATTTACTCTTTAAAACCTGTTCTTACCTTGTTTACTATTTCTTAATATAATTTCCTATTTCCTCTCCAGATTGCATAACCATGTGTAAATAAAGAAATCTTGTATGTTTTATATGTATTGTTCTCTAAATCTCTATTCCATATTCACTGCAATATTTTTGAAAGCATATGAGTATGAGTTGTTTGTATTTTTTCCATTTGTTTTAGACTTGAGGAGTAAAGCAGAAACAAATGAACCAACTGCAATGAGTGGCATTTTGCAAGAGCAGTTCTATCATGATATGATGGAGAGATTTGTAAAGGATGATGTGATTTACTCCACATTGAGAAAAATCTCCAAATATGACTGTGAGTTAGAAAGACACCAGGAGACCCATGGAAGAGATGTGAGACAAGCTATCTTGACCCACAACGGGAGAGACCATGAAAGTAATGAATTTGAGAATATTGTGAGTTCAAATCTTATTATAGAACAAAGGCACCATAAGTGTAACACACCTAAAAAGAGGAACAAATACAAACTAGACTTGATTAGTCATCCAACAAGTTACATACGAACAAAAACCTATGAATGTAATATATGTGAAAAAATCTTCAAACAACCCATTCACCTCACTGAACACATGAGAATACATACTGGTGAGAAGCCTTTCAGATGTAAAGAATGTGGAAGGGCTTTTAGTCAAAGCGCATCCCTTACCACACATCAGAGGATCCACACTGGGGAGAAGCCCTTTGAATGTGAAGAATGTGGCAAAGCCTTCAGACACCGCTCATCTCTCAATCAGCATCATAGAACCCACACTGGGGAGAAACCTTATGTTTGTGATAAATGTCAGAAAGCTTTCAGCCAGAACATTAGCTTGATCCAACATTTGAGAACTCATTCTGGAGAGAAACCCTTTACGTGCAATGAATGTGGGAAAACCTTCCGACAGATTAGACACCTTAGCGAACATATAAGGATTCATACTGGGGAGAAACCCTATGCCTGCAATGCATGCTGCAAAACCTTCAGTCATAGGGCATATCTAACACATCACCAGAGAATCCACACTGGGGAGAGACCCTACAAATGTAAGGAATGTGGGAAAGCCTTTAGGCAGAGGATACACCTCAGCAACCACAAAACTGTGCATACTGGAGTAAAAGCATATGAGTGCAACCGCTGTGGGAAGGCCTATAGGCATGACTCGTCCTTTAAGAAACATCAGAGACATCACACTGGAGAAAAACCTTATGAGTGTAATGAATGTGGAAAATCCTTCAGCTATAATTCATCACTTAGTCGGCACCATGAAATACACAGGAGGAACCCCTTTCGAAACAATGTGTAAGGACATTTTTGGACATGAAAACAAAAGCCAAGTCTAAAGTAGGGTTCTTGTGCTTTAAATTTTAAGCACTATAAATTTGAGGAATTGATGTAATCCCAACTTATAATTTTTCCCATTGTATAAATAAACACTACATTTATAATTACTATCTCTTCACTTTCTACTTAATAAAAGAAAGAAAGGATGGCCCTTCAAATTAAATTCAACAATGTGGAAAATTCACACATTTTCCTTTTGTTTTCTTGGTGGATTAGTAAATTAATCTTCATGGGCATTCATTGATTTACAGGCTAGTGTTATGGGAACTGTTGTTTGAAATATCACCACCTCTTTTTCTAATCGAAAAATTTTTAATGGGCAAAACTGTCACACGGTATAAAGTTCAAAAGGCAGTTGTGTAAGTAAAAAGCATCCTTACTGCTTCCCATGTCACCATAAAACCTATGAAAGAGAGGTACAACCATTTTGTTCCTAAGATTTACTTATTATGCATACAAGAACTGGGGCACAGGCCAGAGGCACAGGGTTGATGGAGCTAAGAGGATTCACCAGAAGCAGAGTGGGGAGCAGAACAGGGAGAATGACTGAAATATACTGGTAAGGGGAGCAGCGGGTGAGACAGGAGAGGTCTGCTGCGCCATGTAGGTCAGCTCCCTGGCCAGGCTGCAGATAGCTTCATAGTGCTGAGCTTTAACCCCTTGTGCCACCAGGGAGGGCCCGGTATAACCATTTTTATAACTATTTTTTTGGGGAAATATTTCTATTTATAGCCAAGATAATATAAACATAGTTTTTCTTTGTAACTATTATGACAGCTTCCTGCATAAATAAATCTGCAACATGACTTTTACCAATTAATGCTATAATATATCATGGAGGTCTTCCCAGCACAGTAGATACAGTGCTATTCATTTCTTTATAACAGCTGTGGAATACTCCTTGGTTTGCATGTACTTCTTTTAGTTGGCTCACTATGGATGGACTTTTGGCATTTCAATCTTCTGTTGGTACAGTGTTTTACTAGTTCATACATTTTAATTTCCTGCAACTGGAATTTCTTAGCTAGAGGGTATAAACATTTGGATGGTGGATATTTACCAAATTGACCCTCAGTGGTTGGATCAATTTCTTTTCCCAACAGCAAGATAGGTAACGGAATCCAGTGCTGAAGTGTCCACTCGGCCAGCAGCCCTATCAGCTATCAAGGAAGGACCAGCTTGTTTCAATGACCAATTAGAAATACCAGCTGACCCACATCCTCAGAAGTAGCAGTTGCCATCCCTGGAGACAGAAAGAATCTGAATCTTGTCAAATAGCCAGGCCCACCAAAATTTCAGCTGGAGAATTCTAGAGGTGACACTTCCACCTCCATCCCTGATTTCTGAGGATGGAACTCTGATGACTGACAATCCCTTTAAAGAGGCTGATCCACTTGCTTTTTAGCAAGTATCATTTCAGCTGCAACCCTTTTGATTGAAACAAAGGAAAACTGACTGTTGAATCATGGTACTGCATTGAATGGCTGACTAATCATAACAATTTATAGGATGGTTATGCCAGCTTTTGACAGTTAATGCCCAAGGAGACAGAATAGAGGACGGACATGACATAATTAATAAACATGAGTGAATGGGCATTTATTAGTCAATGTTGCATGGTGTGTTGTAAAAACTGAACAAGACCAGGACCACAGTGGTTTTGTTCATGTTTCTTTTTCAATCTGGCAATGTTTTATTAAAAAGTTTTAGTGATTCTGTGAAATATTGATACATTTCCCCTAGACCAGTCGGACTCCAGTGATAAACCAAAGCTCAGTAGTTAAGATCCTTTGTGATTTCTCAAGGAGCAGGACCAGGAACCTGATGCATTTTGGAAAACCTTGGCAATTTTCTCTCCCATCTCTCACCTCTACTTTGTTTTCTTCATTTTGATTTTATGTTTGCTTTAAACACCTCATTGCAAATTATGGTTACCTTCAGCTCCAGATTTCAGTTTCTATCACCTGGTATGTGATAAAATGAAAATAAAGCAAAGAAGGTTCTGATACTTTTCTACTTTTGCTCCAGTGACTAGTCTATTCAGTGCTTACTATATTTTATACTTCCATATGTAATTTTAGGTTTCTCAACAATAAGCAAATAGGAGAAAAAAATAATGCACTGACGAGCGCGCGCTCTGAAAAGTGAGTTCGAGGTTGTCCTCTCAGCTGGGAAAGCTGACGCCAGCTGGCAAGAGCCGGATACACACAGAACCCAAGGTGGGAACGCCAGGATGCAGCACTGATGGCTCTCTCCTGGGGCAAATTCTCCATAATTTCCGGGAAACCGGGAAAACGACGCCCCTCGAGCAGGCCTGGTGGTACCGGGACAGCCCTCCGGGGCGGGTCTAGCCCACGGGCGCAGCCAGCAGAGCCCCGGGCGAGCCTGCCGGGAGGTAGACCAGGGTCCCACCCGCAGCCAGAAGGTGGGAGGTGCAGCCGGCTTCCGGGACTGCCCCGCGCCGCCGAGGCCTTGGGAGGGGGCGGGGCTTGGGGCCGCTGTGCATTCTGGGCTGGATCTCCCGGCGTCCGCACGCTAAGGCGGGGCCCGGAGTCTGTCTCTGCTGGTAGGGGCAGAAGCCAGAAGCAACCCCGAGTTGATGGAGGAGCCGAGGGGGTCCGGGGTTCGCTGGCGCATCAACAGTTAGGGAGAGGCTGGAGAGTGAAGATAGATGAAGTGAGGGAGCGCGGGGTTCGGTCTCGCCTTTGCCGGCTCCGACCCCCTCCCGCTGTGAGAGAGCGGCTCCCGTGCAGACCCCGGTCCTGTGGACTCTGGATTTTTCGCCCTTGTAAGACCCTGCGGTAAGCTGGGGCTTCATCCCGAGGCTGAGACTCCTTGTTCTCCTTGCTGGCTCCTCCTGGACATTGTAGGCAGTGCTTAGTAAACTTTAGGGCTTACGCGGAGCTCGGGAGGAAGAGTGGTTTGGAACTAGTGGAAAAGTCCCCGCCTAAGGCAGTAGTTCTTGGAACCCACAAATCCTGGCAGTACCGAACAAATGGGATGTTAAGGGTGAAGGTGGTGGCAGTTCTGCAGACAGTAGGAACCCATCAGATGAACTGTTTCCCAATTGAGGACTCTGCCCGAACTTCTGGCTGAGGATGGGGCTGGGAGAGGGAACTGATCAGAGATCTCTTTGGGGACCTTGGTTATTTTTGATCCTTTACTTGCAGGGAGCAGGGGTTGGATCAAGTAACTGCATCCAGACTATGGGGGAAATGAAATCATGGAGAATTTGCCCCTGGAGAGAGGCGAGCATTACCGAGGATCTAGGGTGGGCAACCGATGATGTTGTGTGGATGAGAGAGGAGGTAACGCCTCTGTGTAAGTGAGGAGGTAGGTGAGAAAGGACCAAAAGTTCCCCCATTTTATCACAGCAAGTCCCAGAGCTGTTGATCTGGATTCTTCGGTGCAGACATAGGCTTTCAGAGCTCCTTTCTCCTTCCCAAGTCTTACTATTTCAGCATTCTGCCTATCCCTGTGAAGAGGAAGATCAACCAAATTCCAGGCGAGTAAAAGTTTCCTTTCCTAAAACTTGATGTTATTTATCAGAGGAAATAGATACACTGTTTCATATCTTCCTTGGGAAAGGGAGAGGACAGCTACATTTGTGGAATGCTAATAATATGTATGTTTTATCACTGATTGTTAGGGTGGCTGAGTTTTTGGATAGCTGAGTGCTTTGGAAGGAATACTCTCATTTCAGCGATGTGTTAGTTGCCTCAGGAAAACTAAAAACTTGCCTAAGAATATTCATAGGGCAATTAATGTGCTACTATTTGTAATAATACTAAACTAGTCAGAAGTAAGTTCAGAACCCAGATCTGTAGCATGCTGGTCTTTCCAAAACATCTCTCTCATTTACCACTTAATGATTTTTGCTCTTGTGTATTACCTACATTGTTATTCTCTTATTTTTATTTTCTCACATTTATTTAAAGAGAAAACATTCTCAGAAACACTAACTATGAAATTATGTGTGTGGTGGACATGCTGACAGCTTTATATTATTCAAGGTACCACTAAAAATGTTGGTCCGTGTACCATGTAAAATCATTTTGTATCACTAATACACTGCAATTTGGGATAATGGGCTGCCTTGTTGGAGACCAGCTCCAACTATGAGGTGCCTGGAGGCAAGACAGGCGGGACCCTAAGGTGGGAAGGCATCGGTGAGCGGAGATTCCTAAAAAGGGGAGAAGGAGAAAAAAGGGAAAGGAGGGGCGAGGAAGACACAGGAGTCAGAGTTGGGTGCAAGTCTTCCTGCTCTGCCTTCAGCAGAGGTTTATTTTATACATTAGGAGTAAGCAGTGGGATGACATCAGCACACGAACTGGGCTGAGAGATTACAATCATCTTTTTTTTCTAAGAACAGTTTAGGGTCGTATTGCCCTTTAGCTGAGATATAACATTCTAAAATCAATCAAGGTTAAAAATAGGTACATAGGTGCACAAAGTTTATGACTAATATTAACTATAGTGGAGATCAACTAAGATAGAAGTCCCTTAAACCTTATCTACTACTTAATGGGTTTTTGTTTTTCTACCTGGGTCATCCTGGGAGGCAGAAGAGGAAATTCCTTGCTAATCAAATCTCTGAAAAGGAGACATAGGTGAATTTCCTTATCTGAAGACTACATAGCAGAATCCTGAAAGACTAGCCAGAAGACTTTTGTGGGTTCCTTCAAGGTGTAGCAGGTGGAAAACTTGACTAGTTTCAAAACAGGCAACCTGCATGAATTTCCACATCTAAAGGCCAGACAATAGGAAGTTTGAGTAATTCTTTAGAAGCTGAATAGAGGGCTAGATGAGATAATAGAATGATAAGATTTGGGTTTTCCTCCATCCATCCTGCAGTGAGAGAGACTTTGCAAAAACAGGCCTTATGCGTTTATTTATCAGTCAGTAGTCAAGTCACTTGACTTCAGGGGAATTTTTCACCCTGGTGCAATGCTTGCTTGTCAGGGCAGACAGGCCTTATACAGCTGAGGCAATCCAATTGTAAGCTGAAAGTTGCTCAGAATATTTTGATATTACGATTATACAAAAAAGGTAGGTCATAACGTAAGTTAGCAGTGGAAAGTCCGATTTTTCAGAGCTTTTCCCGATCTACCTGGAATCTGTCAGACGATAGACGTTGCATAGCTTGTGTCACTGCATCATGCTCAAGCTGGATTTTGTCTACAGGAAAGTCCAGGCAACACATCCATGTAAAAATTGCCCATCCCTAGAATATTTTCTTCTTTTAGATGACTCTTTCCCCTAGGGAATGACTACTATTATGTCTTCTCAACAAGATATTTCATTGGTTAGGGCTGCCATATTCTTAATATTATGTATAAAACAAGTAGAGAGTCCGTATCTTCTCAGAGTTTACAAGAGCTAACATATACATGTGAAATAATCTAAGTCAGTATTATTAAATAGCACTGTCCCTGGCCAGGGAAATGTCCTATGTCTGTGCCTTATTATGTCCCTACTAGCTACATGTAGCGACTGAGCACTTGAAATGTGGCTAGTGCAACTGAGAAAAAGAATTTAAAATTTTATTTAATTAAAATTAAAGTCACATGTGGGTAGTGGTTATATTTGGACAACCCAGATGTAGACATTGGAAATAAAATATTATCAGGATCAAGTGATTTGGATTTAGTGATCTCCTCCCAGTGGGAAAAAGCAACAACAGAGGTGCACAAGTTAATTACCATTTGGCTTTAGTTTGTTGGTGGGAACTAAAGATTCTCCAACACTCAGGGATTTTATAGTTCACATGAAATTACTTACTTTGAAACTGTCGTCATTTATTGTATATTTACAATTTAAGACCCCTGTGCAAAAGTACAGTCCTGTGTTCTGTTGCTACTCTAGTCTCTTCCAAAACAATATAGGGATAAGCAAAAGTCTGAACATTATATTACTTTTGTTCATGAAAATAACTTTTCTTCTAGCTATCTATATTTTCTTTCAATAGTAATGTTTAACACTAAAAATTCGTTAAGTACAGTCATAACTTAGATTAGTATTCTCAAAGCATTAGTTTTAAGCTTTCTAAGATGGGTGTTATTATGTCCAGCTTATTCATTGCTTATTAGAATAGCAAGGAGGAAACTTGGCTGGTGGTTAACCTCAGACACCTTAAATTGTGTGTCAAGTTATTTCTTTTTCTGGCACCCAAAGTAAAATACTAGTGGACTGAGCAAACCTTGTTTTGTTTTCTCCCTATGGAAGGTATGATATGTGAGCTTAGGAGGAACACTTAAAAGAATATCTTCACAGATCATTTGCTTACTTTCTTGAGATTAGAAATGCTTGTGAGACAAAATAGTTGAACATATATATTAATCTTTGTTTCTGAATCCAAGAAAAGCTAAGACATCTTCAGAACTATTGGGAAAATTTGAATATAGAGTGGAGTGTTAGGGAATTATTAATTTTGTTAGCTATGGTAATAGTACTATAGTCAAGGTAGGAGAATATATTTATTTGGAAATGTATGCTAAGCATTTATATTTGAAGGGTTACAACATCGATAACTTAAACTATTGTAGTTTAGCCAAAAAATGCATGCACAAAGGAAGCATATAATACAGTAAAATGTGAAGTAATCATTTATCCACATGATGTGTGTATAGGTGTTTAGTGTTCTAGTCTTTCTATGTCTCTGTATGTTTGCAATTTTTCACAGTAACAACTTTAAATACAAAGTACCTGCCTGTCCCATGGGGGAGCAGTGAGATATTGGGTGTTAACCATTTTTCACTTTGAAAGTTTTGCCCAGTGGTCACACAGAAGCTATTATAAAGTGTAGCTGTACCACTAACTGTTAATAAATAAGCTTCCTTACAGAATGTAAATAATTAGTCATGATTCTTATCTCATTGGAATTTGAAAGTGCTTTTGGGAAATATTTTATTTGGATAATACATTTAACATGATATGCAGGGCTCTCTCCCAACCCACATCAGTGCTATGACTGAGGCTGGGGAAGAGCAATCAGTGTCAGCAGAGGCCTCAGGGTTCTCCGACTTCAGTGATTCAGAATTTCTAGACTTTGTGGACCTGGAAGATACCCAAGAATCAAGTTCTTCACTTAGCAAACCTGGCCCTTCTTCTGAACTCCCTGGGAAGGATGACAAGTTCGCCGACTTACCAAAGAGGAAAAGAGAACAGGGTATCTCATCACCCATGGAGCGATTCCACCTTAAATATTTGTATGTCACTGATCTGTCTACCCAGGATTGGTGTGAACAGCAAATGGTATATAAGAAGGAGCTTCCTGGTTTCTTGGCACCCGAGAAGGCTGCTGTCTTAAACACTGGTGTCAGCATCCACCTAGCTAGAGAACTAGAAGTTCATGATCTTGTGACTATTTCCATCACCAGTAAAGAGGATTCTTGGGCAGTTAAGTTTCTGAACATATTATCAATGATTCCTACCCTGCAGTCAGAAGGTCGCATCAGAGAGTTCCCAGTGTTTGGAGAAGTAGAGGGCGTGCTGCTTGTTGGAGTGATTGATGAGCTGCACTATACAGACAAGGGGGAGCTGGAATTGGCTGAACTCAAGACACGGAGGCGCCCTGTGCTTCCTGTGGAAGCACAGAAAAAGAAAGACTGTTTTCAGGTCAGCCTATATAAATACATCTTTGATGCCATGGTACAAGGGAAAGTGACCGCTGCTAGCCTAGTCCGCCATGCAAAACTGCATCCAGAAAAACCACTGGGGCCCTCAGTGCTGAGACATGCCAAGCAGGGAGGCTTTTCTGTGAACTCCTTGGGTGACCTCATGGAGCTGGTCTTCTTGTCTCTGACATTGTCTGACCTCCCAGTTATCGATAACCTAAAGATCGAGTATATCCACCAAGAGACTGCCACTCTGCTGGGTACAGAGATTGTGGTCTTTGAAGAGGAGGAGGTGAGGAGCAAGGTGCAGCACCAGATGGCTTATTGGGTGGGCCACCGAGAACCTCAAGGGGTTGATGTGGAAGAGGCGTGGAAGTGCCAGACATGTAGCTATGCAGATATCTGTGAGTGGAAGAAGGGTGGCTGGGCGCTCAGCTCCACCGTAGAGCCTCAAGCCAAAAAAGCCAAATGAGCAGAAGGTATGCCTTCAGAGATTTGGATCTCTTTAGTGTACTCAGCAGAGTTAAAGAGCTCATTTTCTGAGCTTGGCTTCCATTCAAATTTCTTCACCTTCTAACCACACAAATCCAGGACTAAGAGTCAGGGATAAGGGGGAAGATCTGGGATTCTACTATCCCTGGAACTTCATCATTGGTTGACAAGATGACAGATGATCATCATGACTGGGGATAAGGTATCCTTCCACAATCATTGTTTTCCTAAAAAGATTCTTTAGTTTCTGAGAAGTCTCCTTCCTACTTTTTTCTCAAGCAAGTCTTTGTTTTATGTAATTACACAAAATGAAATGCTGCCCAAGTCATTTGAACTGATGGCTTTTTAAATGATTTTACACCTTCAAAGACACCCACTATAAATAGTTGCATATGTGTTATTCCAAGCTTTTACATATATACATAAACACATTTCTAAAGCAAAATTAATGGGATGACTGACCAAGCATTTAAACATAATCAATGTGTACAAAGAAATAAAGGAAAATAAAGTAGCAACAGTAAGATATAAAACATGAAATTATTAGCCATGAAAATACGATAAATGAATTAACCTGTGTCATTTATACACTGTGTAATCTAGTAATATCAATGCTTATACAGATACAACAGGGAATTCTTATTCAACAGGAAATATGAACAAGAATATACTTTATAGCTCTTTCACAATAGCAAATCCCAAACCAAGAACTACCTAGATGCCCAGCCTCAGAAGAGGGGTATGATATACTGTGGACAGATAAGCTGCAATGACATGCAACAATATGGATAACTCTTACCACAACAAAAAATAAAAAAGCAATCTCCAGAGGTTACATATAGTAACCTTTTTATAAAGTCAAAAGTAACCTTCAGAAAAATGTAAGGATAATGGAGAGGAATGCTGGTCTGTCTCAGTAGGCAGTGGAGCCCTTACCTGCAAATATCAACAAAGAGGCCCGAAGAAGGTATGACGTTGACATCACCCCTCATTTTTTTTAGCAATGAAAAAGTATTCCATTGCATATATAGATTGTTGTTTATCTAAACAGGTCTCTATGTACTTAGGTTACTTTTTATCTTTTTTTTTTACTACAAACACTGTGTATATACAGTAGAAACTAAATATTACTCTCACAAACACATCTACTAAATCTGAACGCCAAGATAATCATTTATAGGAAATCAATAAGATTCTTCAAAATGTTTTTGTTTTCTTTTTTTTTCAAAATGTTTTTATGGGTATGTGAGCATACTAAAGTATAAAACAAATATGTGTGCATTGGAGTGTATATGATTGGACACAAATCTTCTGTAACATGTTTGTATCAGTCAAATTTTATAGGGTATATATTTTCATGTATTAACAGCTGATAATAAATTGTTTCCCAGTAATATATTGTGTAATATAATCATTTAATTAACTCTCCTCTGTTAATAGAATCATTTGATTAACTCTCCTCTGTTAGCCATACTGAAAGGGTTAGATGTAGAGACATAAATGTTTATAGCCTACATAGATATTCTAAATATTTTCTGATTTTCCTCCTTCAGCCTAGAAATCTGGGGATGTAAGATCACATTTAGAATACATCTTGATCCACATTACCCTGCAGGAATGCATCTTTTAGACTCTATGATTCCCTCAAAGCAAGAACTGTTCGTACTTGCCATAGTATTGGATAACTTGACTCATCGTTTTTAAAAAAAATGGTATGTAAAAGTATGTGCTTCCACACCCTGACCTAGTATTACAATAATTCTTAAATTGTGCCAATGTGATGAATAATATCTTAACTTTAGTAATAATACTAAAGTTTGTGCTATTTAGATTAACCTGGGAAGATGAATATCCTTTATTTTTTGGTAATTTGTATTTTATGAATTGAAGAAAGCTCTCCAATTACTGACCTCAGTGTCCACCTTAAACTAAAAAAGAAAATGAAACCCAGCGGAAACATTAAAAATAAAATATAGCTGCCACCATGCAATAGAACACAAAGAGAAAATTGATTAACTCAAAAGCTGATTGTTTTTCAATAAAACTGAAAAGTTGTAGCTAGACCACTCAGGAAATAAAAAGTACAGGCAGGCGACCAGTGGCAGGGGTAAGAGAGGTGTCAGCACTACAGCTACGACAGATACTAATAAGGACTAGTAAGGAAAGACAAGCAGCTTTATGCCAATTCATTTGACAACTTAGATGAAATAGATAAATTCCTTGAAAGATACAAGCCACCAAAGCTTACTCAAAGAAACAACCTAAGTAGTATATCTAATAAAGAAGTTTGCTAAAGACCTTTCCTCAAAACTCCAATCCCAGATGAATTATGGGCTGAATTCTTTAAGGAAAAAGTAATAGCAAAGGCTCACAAACTTCCAGAAAAAGAAAGAGGAGGGAAAATTCTCTATTCATTCTATAATTCCAATGAGATTTTGATAACCAGACCAGATATTATACACAAAAACCATAGACAAGTATAACCCATGAAGACAGATGCGAAAAATTTAATTTTAGTAAATTTGACCCCACAGTATAGAAAAAGAGCAATATACCATTCCCAAGTGAAATTCTCCCAAAGAATGCAAGATTGGCTTAACATTTTTAAGATCAGCATAATTCACATTAGCACTGTAACAAAAGTGAAAAGCCATATAATTCTGTGATGAAAAACTTTTGATAAAACACACCACTCATTCTTCTTAAAAACTACTGGAAAATTAAAAGGGAACTTCCTCAGCTTCATAAAGACCATCTACAAAATCTCTACAGTCAACAGCTCACTTAATGGTGAAAGACAGAATTCCCCCCAAGTTCAGGAAAGGGCAGTTATGTTGCTTTTATCATTTTTATTCATTGTAAATGGTCAGTACATTTAGCACATTGAGTAAAGGAAATCATAAAAGGCATCCAGATTGGAAAGGAAAAAAAATTACTTGCATATATCATGATCATCTTGTGGAAACTCTTTAAAAGCTTCTAGGTCAATATTAAAAAATAAATTTTGTTTCTGCATTGTCACAACAAAATAAGAAATTTAAGTACTGAAAATATGAAATACTTAGGGATAAGTATGACCAAAAATTGCAAAATTTGAACAACAAAAACGAAAACATTGCCGAGAGAATTATAGCTTAGGTCTATTTACAGCAGACCCAAATAAATGAGATACACTGTGCTTCATTTATTCATGGACTGGAATATGCAGTATTATTAAGATGCTTGTTTCCCCAAATTGCCCTGTAGATAAAAAACCCCAAACCAAACAAGTTCCATGATGCAGTTGTGGAAGTGAAACTATGGAAGTAAGACTAGTTCAACTTTATTTGATACTCAAAAGTAATTATTGACCCTTATTATATATGCCTGGCTCTGGAGACACAGCCCTGCACAGAGCTAAGATTTTGCTTACACTAATTCTGATGTGTGGGTTTTTTCACCATCCCCAAGCAATTCTCTGACACTAGGTATCCTACAATTCAACTTGATTCTGACACTGCATAGTGACAGCATAAGGTCAAGAAGGGACTTTTAAAGCATGGGATATACATATGTCTTTATGTCCCTGAAAATGCCAGTAAAGTCAGTGGTTCCTAGTATTGTGAGTTCTTTTTAAAGATTGATTTATTTATGCACACAAAAGCTGGGGTGAAGGCCAGAGATACAGAGGGCTGAGAGGTTTCACCAGAGATTGAGTGCGGAATGTAACAGGGAGATTGACTGAAATACACTGCTGAGGGGAGCGGCCAGTGAGGCAGGAGGGGTCTGCTGTGCAATGTGGGTCAGTGGCTGTGGACAGCCTTATATTACTGCAGCTTAACTTGTGCCACCAGGGAGGGCCTTCCAGTGGGTTCTACTGCTGCTACATAACAGTACATTTCCTTAATCTACTCACTCTTCCAAGTAACATTAGAATCTCACATGACTTGTAAGATACATCATTATTTTACATAGTAAGAGGGAAAAAAATGCTGCCTATTAAACTATGGTATACCATAGTTCGCAAGAGCAGTTTCACAGATGTTGAAATATGAAAAAAAAAGTCAAGGTAATGATGTTTTCCTTATCTTTTCACTTCTGAAACCTCTTCCTACTTTCAGCTTTCCGTCTGAGAAAACAGAAGCACTTAGAAAATGACAACCACCTTTCACCAACAGCAAATATGTGTGTCTATCTGCATCTGTGCCTCAAAACTCCGCACACCCTATTATGTCAGTGGCTGGATTGTCTAGACCTACTTGGAAATGATCGTTCCAGACACATACTGGATTTCAATCTTCTCAAGAACTTTCCTCCTGCAACTGCACTGTCTCTCCTATATTGCAATTATCCCCTCTCTACTGTGTCATTTAAATAGCAATATAAACATACTGTGATTTCTTCCAAATTGAAAAGAATCCTGGCCAAAAACCTACATGCAGTTACAGATGTGGTTTTTGCTATCTTTAAAAAGCAAAACTTAAAAAAAAGTCCATATTTGCTTTCACCACTTCCTCTCCTATTTCATCCGACTGTTACAAACACTTATCAGACTTCCACATTTGACATTTGACAAAACTGCACATTTCAACAACCTCCACGTTGCTGACTACCATGGTCAAGTCTTAAATTCTCATCTTACTTGACCTATCAACACTACTGAAGCCCGTGGTTCACTTCACTTCCACTTCTGGAAACTGCATCTCCTCTTGATTTTGACAATCCAAGTCTCCCACTTTTCCATTATCCTCACAGATTATTCCTTCTCAGTCTCCCTTGCTAGTTCCACTCATCTCCCCGACTTAGACTAGTATATTTCTTTTTAAAAGAAATCCCACTAGGTAAATTATCCTCTTAACATTAAGGTTTAGATTTTCCAGTATCAAAAATTCTGATGCCTCATTTTCTTTAAGCGAAAGTGATAAACACACTGCCCCCTTCAAAGTGAGCATTGATCTCAGGGTAGCCCCACAGATCCCAACGCCAGACTCGCCCCCTAAGAAAGGCAGCACCTCTGACGCGCTCCGGAAACAGGCTCTTGAGGCCTTGTGGGAAATGTAGTCTCGGGTGACTTGCCTTCACCGCGGGGGAGCCTGGGAATTCTAGGCGGGCAGTTACTTCCGCACAGGCGCCGTGGGTCGCTAGCCTGGATTCTGTAATCTTCCAGCGTGCGCCTGGGGACGTGTGGGCGGGGGCTTCCCGGGAGTTTGTGGCTGGCTCTGTAACCTGATCTTCGGTTTAGAGTCAGACTGGGAGCGTGGCAGTGAAAGGGTGGCAGGTATGACTCTCTGGGATTTGGGGGACGTGAGGGAAGGACAGAGAGAAAGATAGGTACCGGTTTGTTGATTTATCCTGCCGAAGATAAAACTTCACAGTCCCCACGTGTAATGGCTTTGTGTTTGGGTGCCTGGGCCCTTTCTACCTCTGGAGTCGTCCGGAGACAGTAGGAGCTGGATTTCGACTGCCACTCAGTGGGTCCCCAGATCCTGGTGAGGCTGGGGTCAGGTTCAGTTTACAGACAGGTCACCGTGTAGGAGTCTGCATCCAACTCTTTTGTCGATTGCAGAAGCAACGTTATCCCGACCAAAGCCTGCAACTGAGAATTTTAAGCCTGTCAAGAAACTAGGAAGAAAGCATTTTAGAGAAACTGCTTTGCATTCCCGGTCTTCTGAAATAAGTATTTTCTGTTTTGCACGTGACTTAACTGAAGCTGACAGATGAAAATACTTGCCTCAATACACACAGCTTAGTAAGTGGAATAGCTGAAATTCAAACCTAGACGAGTCGTCTTCAAACTGTATTTGCAAGCACCTTACAAAAAGAGAAAAAAGTCGATTTCTTCTTTTAAAATATTTGAGCATTAAATGCTGACTTAAGTTTTGTGATTTTATTTTTGAGTCAGGGAGTCTGCAGATCTTCCCAGTGAAAACTATAAATAAAATCGTGAATCTCTCTTGCACATGTTAACCTTTCAAGGAACCCAGCAAGTGCTGTTTATAATTTCAGAAAGCCCAGATCTGGCCTCTAAGTTTCCAAAGAGAGAGATGTGGCGTCTAAAACAGTAGATACCAGTCAATGTATACCAGAGAATTACAGAAGGGAATGTGATATACTGAGCTTCAGAATCAAGGCTTTTAACTCATTTTTTAATGAAGGGCAAAAAAGATACATTGCTGGGGGAAAATTACTATCACTGATTCAGGGGTTAACTTGTTATATCAGAAGGACAGAAATGTGCATCCTTATCTAAATTTTATATAATCATAACAGTCATGAGCAGAGAAGGATTAATGCTTAAAAAATATATGACTTGCTACAAGCATTATCCTACTAAGTGGCATTTTCTGAGTCTGACATGAGGGTGCTTCTCTTCTGATACAGCAGGGTTCTACTTTGCAGACCTGGTTTCTCATGTCTTTCTGCTCCCCATCTACTCAGATTCTATGCAAGAGGTGCAGACAATGATCAACTTCCAGGTAAGGCAACCATTTGTACATTTTAATTTCTCAAAATCCATTTTAAAAGGAAATGTGTAGTCAGGAGAAATGTACATTGACTAGACGATGTCCAAAAGGAAATTTTAGAAAAGTGTAAAATTGTTAAGTTATAGACAGGTTATAGAGTTGCCATATAGTTGAAATAAATTTGAACAAATAAATGTATGGCCAGTCTTTCTGATGATCATAGAAAATGGTTAGCCAACCAATTAAAGTATTGGTGTTGCCCATGAGCATAAAGCAAAATAATTCTCTAGATAACTTTTTTCTTGGCACAATTCTGAGAAGAAAATATCTTCTCATGGATTTCCATAGAGATAATGTTAGGAATAATATTTATAGCAACAACACTGTGCTAGATACAACATAAGGAAGTTCTTATGACTTCCTTAGAACATAGTGCCAACCAGAACTGTCTGAACTCAGTTCTCAAGTCCAGGTACTTAGCCTTTGTAATGTTATCTGGATCCTTAAGTACACCTTAGACTTTTGTAGTGTCTCCAGTAATTTTTTTTTAAATTCTTGAACAGTTTTAAAACCAGCTTGTCAGGGTCCATAAAAGAAGATGTTAGGTATTTTTTATTTGATTCCATTAAACTTTAGATTAATTTGGAGAGAATTCAAACATTTTCAATAAGTTTTCCATTTATTAAACTTTTCTTATAGGTCCTTCATTACAGTTCTGTCAGTTTATTATAATTCTTGTACATTTTTACTATGTTTATTCTAACATGTTTTAATTTGCTATTGGTAATGGGATGGAGTCTTTGTAATTTCTGATTGGCTGTTCTAAGGGAAAGTGTGAATTAACTCATTTGAATTCATATCAACTTATAGAACTATTAAGTCCAAGTCACACACTCTTCAAATGGTGCTTTGTCAATTACTAGCCAGTTTTTATGTCTTTTCTTTTTTCCTTGTCTGGTTGCAGTGACCAGGGCTTTTAATGATTACGTTTTTAATGTAATTGTTAGGCAAAAATGTCTGTTGTTCTTATTTTAATAGGAATTCTCCCAGTGTCTCACTGTTACCTTTTTGTTTTGATTTTGTTTTTAATCAACTTACGGATTTTTAGCTTGTGAGGATTGTCTTTATAAGATGAGAACATTTTTCTCATGTTCGTCCTGTCAAAAAATCCTATATTTTGTCTAAATATAAAAGTTTAGAGAATTTCTGTTATATTTCCCAGTCGTGAGCTATCTTTGCATTCCTGGGATAAGCAGTACATATTCAATTTTTTAAAGTGCCAAATAGTTTCATCACGTTTTAAAAAATCCATTTGTATATGGACATTTGTGTAGACATTTTTTCTACTCTCTTAGGTTCATATCTAAAAGGAAGTGTTGGGTGACTCTATGTTGAATGTTTTGATAAACTGACAAACTGTTTTCCATGCTTCCTGTACCACTTTACAGTCCCACCAGCAGTTTACAAGTTTCAGTTTCTCCACGCTTGTAACTATTTATCTGTAACGTTACCCATCTTTGTGTGAAGTGGTACCTCATTGTGTTGATTTGCATTTTACTAATGACTAATGATGTTGAACTTTTTTTTTTTTTTAACTAAAGATGTATTTATTTATGCTTACAAGAACTGGGATATGGGTCAGAGGTGGAGAGGATTCACCAGAGACAGATGGGGAACAGAACAGACAGATATTACTGCTGAGGGGAGAAGCAGGTGGATCAGGAGAGGTCTGCCAAGCCATGTGGGTCAGCTCCCTGACCAGGGATTACCAGATATATGATTTGTAAAATTTCTTCCCACTCTGTGTATTTTTCACAGGCTGTGTATTTGCACTTTCTTATGGTATCAAAAATTTTAATGAATTCTAATTTATCTTTTGTCACACTATGTTCAGTATTAAGAAAGCATTGCCTAATCCAAAGTCACAGATATTTATGCCTATGCTTTGTTCTAAGAATTTTATAGTTCTAGCCCTTACATTCTGGTCTCTGATCCATTTTAATATATGAGGTGAGGCTGAGGGAACCCAACTTCATTTTCCATCATTGAATTGTCCTGTCTCTAGTTGAAAATTTCAATATCATTTGTATTTTTATCATCAGGTATTTTTTGAATCACATGTACAACAGTTATCATCTATGACTTTCTGAAAACTCACCAGGGAACGTGATATTATAATACCATACCTTGATTGCCATGATTCTCCTGCAAGTCCCCGACCCTAGCACTCTTAAGTTTGAAGATGCATGTGCTATTTCAGGAATCAGTGGTGTTCCAGGACGTGGCAGTGGACTTCACCACAGAGGAGTGGCAGCTGCTTGACTGTGACCAGAGGACCTTATATTGGGATGTGATGCTGGAGAACTTCAGAAACCTCATCTCAGTGGGTAAGGACGATGGGAGGCGATTCCTCAGTGTCATGCACATTGTACAGTAGTGCTCTCTATCCTTTTAAGACTTTTGAAAGCTGTGAACTTTCTGAAGCATTAAGTTTGGCCCTAAATTCTAGTAGTCAATCTCCTAATCCCCTTTAGGGATCAGCTTATGCTTATGTTTCCAAAATGGAGGCAAAGGATCTTTTCTAAAATCCCATTTGTCATCCATTGTAGGCCCTGAGAGTCAAGGAGACCGAGCTGAGTTGTGAGGTAGTTGTTTGTCTTTGGCACTTTTGTCTTTCAGTTCTGTGTTATTTCCCATAAACAGGGGCTCCAATTACTAAAACAAAAGTGACCTTGAAGGTGGAGCGAGGACAGGAGCCATGGATGGCAGAGGGAGAGAACGCATGTTGGAACTATCCAGGTGAGTGAGAGAAAACAGGTAGGCAGGAGTGTTTGGAATAGAGTTCACAATTGGCCAAAGACAGGCATCTTTGAATATTTTTCGAGAAGCACCTCTTAAAAGCCATGTACACCTTTAGAAATGACTGGGTACACCTTACATAACAGCAGCAGAACCCCAGATGTTGCTTCCACTTTTGCTCTCCTCATGTAGCTGCTCTTGGTATTTACTCAGTTCTTGTGTGAAGGGATATCCCATTCCTCTGCTCTGGCTTCTCACACTGCCTGTTTCATCTAGGTCCTGGCTTTGTTTTCTTAGTTCCTAAAACCCTCATTCTGCTCTACACATCAGCATGACCCTAGCTCTTTTCCATACAGCTCGTTCTTATGGTATAGTCAGATTGTGTGAATGGAGAGTGTTAACATTTACCTGAGGCTTATTATAAAGATTATAATGCATTAATACATGCAAAACCCTTCACATAGGGCAAACACTAACTTTTCAGCACATGATGTTACCCCTTTAAAAAAAAAAACCCAACTTGTTCCTTTTCTTGAGCCTTATACCCCACCTTGCTCATCTTTAGTTTTCTGCTAATGAGTTATTTTCTTTCTAGTACATCTTTCTGCTGCACTTGGTATTATTGCTATGTTGGAAGTTCCTTCTAACTTTGAGTTGGTTCATTGCTAATCTGTCCTCACCCTTTGTTACTGCTTATTCACTTTTTGCTTCTTTCCTTTTCTTCCATCTCCAGAACTTCTCTTCATAGCAACTTCCTCAGAAACCTCATTGCTCTAAAAACTAAACTTGCTTGCTCATGCTTTCACCAGCATCTTTGCCTTCTTCAACTTTCCATTCCAAGAATTTTACCTCACTTAGCCTTATTGTTTGTTTTTCATAGTAACCAATATTCTTTAAGCTTCCCCTCTATCTTTATGTTACAGTGAAGCATAATGACTGCTTTGCAAACTCAAAATCACTGTGGTAAGCGTTTTGTCTTAACTCTTTGATGAGTTTCTCCTTCAATACTACTGTGACTTAATACCTTTGATTTCAACTGTTAGACCAATTTAAAATAAAATCTTCCCTTGCACAGAACCCATAAAAGAAGTATATGCCAAATGATTTAGACACCAGGGATTCCCTGAACCCCAATTCTACTGATATAAATCAGATGAATTTTAACTCCTGATACTATATCTAGGCTGTTCATGTTACTGTGTTCCCAGTTCCACTCTATTTTATAGTTAATCTTGAATGTTCTTGCAAGGTTTATCTAAATTAATTCATTTTTCTTGTCACTCTCCTAACAAACATAAATACTACTTTAAAACCTGTGCTATCATATTTAAATGGATTTTTAGGTCTCCTGTTATGTGCTTCCAGCTTTTTTATCCAGAATTTTTCATCTTTTTCCTATGGCAATTGAGCTCTTTAATATCCTCTGTACACAATTTTCTTCTCTGCATCAGTTCTTTTGATTCTACTATGTTCCATTTAATTAAAACCAACATGCTATTAAATATGTTTCCTGAGAAGGATTCAAAGAAAACTAAAAACTGTTTTATTTCCATATATGTAAATTGCAGTTGAAAAGGCAAAACATAGGCATAAAAATTATTTTAAACTTTGATGAGCATGGAAAATTTGTTCAATGTACAACATTTTAGTTTTGTTCTAGTTAATAGAATGAATGGTTTAGGCAACTGCAGTGACTAGCTTAGAAGTTAGAGAAAATGGATCTTAAAGTTTAAGGTATACAAAGATTCTTACCTTTTTTTTTTTTTTGAGATCTTGATAGCTCCTTCCTGAAAATATATGCAAACTAGTTAGAATTAGAGGAGTTGGGGGAGGGCAAGCTAAGGTGCAAAAGGTATGTGAGCAAAAGACTGTAGTTATGTAGAGGCCAGAATCCTTGGAACAGAGGATATTTGTTGAAGACTAGTGAAAGGCATGCTTAAGAACCATGAGTGAATTCATCATATTGCCTAGTTTTGTTTACCAAGCTGATCATTCTGGATTTTTCATTTAGTTGTTATTGGTTGAGGTAACACAGTGCTGCTTCTAGTTGGTTGGAATAGAGAGGAAAGAAGAAAGAAACTAAATCTCCATACTTAGACTCACTCTATAAAGAAATATTTACTAGTGGCTGTAGCCCACTGCTCAGTGCAGCTTTGCAGAGAAGGATAAAGGGTGGAGTAAGACTAAGGATGTTGCATTAAAACCGTGTGGAAGAAAACACAGAAATTATAACTTCTTCCTAATTTTTAAAAAACATTTATTTATGCATACAAAAACTGGGGTATAGGCTAGAGGTGAGGAGGGGGTGAGAGAATTCACCAGAGACGGAGTGGGGAACAGAACAGGCAGACTGACAGAACACACACTGTTGAGAGGAGTAGCGGGCAGGTCAGGATAGGTCTGCTGCATCATGTGGGTCACCACCCTGGTTAGAAATCAAACTCTTGCTGCAGTGGCTACAGATAGCTTTATAGTGCTGAGCTTTAATCCCTTGTGCCACCAAGGAGGCCCTCTTATTTTTTTTAGTGTAGTTTTTGAATTTATAGAATTTTAAGGCTAGAAGTTAAAAAAAAATGTGACTTCAGGAGCAAAGCCGCTTTCTGGGGACTATTTAGTATATAAGAATAACACTTGTCAAATAGAAATATGACAATTGGGTGTTACATATAGAAACTTAGCCAGAATGAAAATAAGCAGACAGAATCTGCCTGGGCTAAGGATGAACTTCCGCCAAGTGACCTGCCAGATATTTATGTTTCTGAACTTATTGGTAAGAATGAAGTACAGATGTCTCAGCTGTGGTTTGGATGGGGTTAAAAGACTGGAAATAAAAAAAGTATTACTGAGTGAATAGACATTTTCCTTAGATGGTAAAAAGGAAAAAAGGACATGAATGAGGAAAATGATTTGTTCTACCAGCGTAACATAGGAAATAGGTAATGCAGACTCTGATTGTCATCAGCCTTTTTTAGACCTACCCTCTGATTTTTGCCCCAGACGCCTCTTCTCCTATCCACTAATCAGACTTCCACAGTGCACGCTCTTCATGCTGTGAGCCAGCCACGCAGCCCTTTTGACATCCCTCGTACCCTACTCATTTTACTTATGCCTATTTTACTGTCTTTCCACAGGTCACAAGTTAAGCATCTATTATCATTGTCATTCATTTGCTCAAATTTCCTCTTTAGCAGTTTGATATTTAAAGCTCTAGCTTAAAGCAAATACAAGATTTATTTTAGAATAACACACTAGATTTGGAATCATAGAAGTGTCTCTCTATAATATGTTAATGAAAAATTAACCAGGAGTGTTTTATTGTACTTCTTTTTAGAAGCTGACTGCCCACATATTGATGAATCAGAGCAGCACCAGGGAAACAAAGGCAATTTTTTAAATTCAGTTTTGTTCACATTCAATAAAATTCTGACTACGGAGAGACTCCATGGTTATACTATGAACACAATTCTTAATCCTGCAAGAAAAAAATCATATATATGTAAGTCATATGGGAAGACTTTACAACCTGCTTTAGATGAACTTAATTATAATATAGATTATCCTGGGGAAGATGCTTATAAATGCAATGAATGTGGGAAGGCCTTCAAAAAGAAGTTTCATTTCATTAGGCATGAAAAAAATCATATGAGGAAAAAACCCTTTGAATGCGGTGACTGTGGGAAAGCCTACAGCAGGCGGGCACACCTTGCAACTCATCAGAAAATTCATAATGGCCAGAGACCCTTTGTGTGCAGTGAATGTGGGAAAGCTTTTATGCACAAAGCGCAACTCGTGGTCCACCAGAGACTTCACACGGGAGAGAAACCTTATGAGTGCAGCCAGTGCGGGAAGTCTTTCACTTGGCACTCCTCCTTCACTCAGCATGTGAAATCTCACACACTGGAGAACTCATTTAAATGTAAGGAATGTGGGAAAACCTTCAGGTATAGTTCATCCCTTTATAAACATTCTAGATTTCATACAGGAGAGAAACCCTACCAGTGTATTGTGTGTGGCAAAGCCTTCGGCAACACGTCTGTGCTTGTTACACATCAAAGAATTCATACGGGAGAGAAACCTTACGGATGTATGGAATGTGGCAAAGCCTTCATCAAGAAGTCTCATCTCCTTAGACATCAGGTAACTCATACAGGAGAAAAGCCCTATGAATGTGATAGGTGTGATAAAGCATTTTCCCAGAAGTCAAATCTTCTTGTACATCAGAAAATTCATACATAATATTCACTTTATGAGAAAGCCTTCAGTATTAGAGAAATCTGATTAAGTAACATGGTGAGGAGAAATCCAACCGTTTAGATGAATTTGGAAGAGTAGATGCTTGTAAAATATAACGCCAGTCAATTCTGAAACTTGTAACAAATTTTACAGGAAAGATCACAGAAAGCACTGAACTGTAAGTAATAAGTCACTGGAAAGTAAACACATTAAATCAAGCACATAGTAAGAACTATATACCAACCCTGGTTTAAAAAATTTTTTTAAAGATTTATTTATTGATTCATACAGAACTATGGTACAGGCCAGAGGTGCGGAGGGTGAGAATTCACCAGAGACAGAGTGGGGAGCAGAACAGGCAAATCAATGAAGTATACTGCTGAGGGGAGCAGCAGGCAAAACAGGAGAGGTCTGCTGTGCCATGTGGGTCACTTATGGGACAGGGATCGAACTCGTGCTGAAGTGGCTATGGCTTACTTGCAGTGCTGGCTTTAACCCACTGCACCACCAGGGAGGGCCCAATTTTGTAAAATTTTATAATAAACTATATAATTATGCAAGTATGAGTGTGTTTTATCTATACATTAAATTGTATGCATTAAAGTACACCCATTAGGTTTCTGGAATAAATATCACCATTTTTTCTACCAATCCTAACAACTTGCAGTGAGGAAATCTGGTTTAAGATATAGTATGAATTTCAGTATTTTAACCATTTGCTGACACTTTTAATGGCATTCTCTTAATGATAAAATTTGTTTTAAAGATATTTTCCTATGTATGTAAACACAAGAAAAAAATTAAAAAGATAACAATGGGGGTGGAGGGGGCTGGCAAAACAACTATATTGAGTTGAGGAAAATAAGTATTTAAGTTAAAATGAAATAAAACATTTGCACTTCAAATATTCATCCTTTTTCACTGGTGTATCTGCATAAGCTGTAAGTTCATTTCACTTAGAAGTTAACTGCTAGGGAATCCTCTGTATTTGATTAGAGAACTGTGTCCTGATACTTTGCAACTTGCAGGGAGTAGCTTTTGTGGGTTGTTTTTCACATTTTGTAGAAATTCATACAGGTTAAGTTACCAGGTGCCTGGAATGTTTTCTATGTCAACATAAGCATTGCTCACAGTGAAAAGAGCAAGTTTTTCTGCTTAGCAACTTCACTTTGCAATGTGACATTTTCTAAATTCCACATAGTCCCTTAAAATAAATTAGTATTTAAGCTAAAGATTTTATTGTTGTCCACCATATTCCTTGATAATGTCAAAAAGCCTTGAGTGGTGGGTGACAAATCAGTTTGAACCTAAATTCAGATAGCCTTTTCCTTAAATTTGATGACAACTATGTTGCATTTGATGGAGGAAAGAATAGAAAAAGGAGGCATCACAGGAGTAAAACAAACCTGACTCACACAAGGAGGGAGAGGTAGAGGGGATTAAATAGCCATTAACCCAGCTACAGAAATCAGATCCTCAGGCTCCAGCTTTTACCACAAGGCAGAAAGCCCAAACCAGTATCAGGCTGCTGTAGGGAATGTCTGGAGCACAGACCTGAGGGTAAGGATATAGAGATTTGGTCCATTGTGGAATCTCTGGTCCAGATTCCACAGTTATCTGGTCCAGATTCCACAGTTATCCAAAATCAGCAGCAAACAGGCCACTCCACAAAGGAATGAGTCCCTCCCAGAGAAAAGCACCTGAGACTATGCAGGTGCTTGGAACCAGCTCTCTCCTGCTGCAGGGCAGCAGCCTCCTACCTGCCCATGATCCGTGCCATGCTAGGGCTTCTCTCACTGACCTCCCTCGGCAGAGGCAGCTCTCCTCAAAGCTGCTCCCTGCGACAACCAGGAAGTCCTCTCTCAGCAAACCTATCCCTTTTGGGGCGGCTCTTTGCCCGCTTGTAGGTCTAAGCAAGTTTCCTTTATTCTTCTGTCCCCTTGTCCAAATAACCCTGCTCTTTAAATATAACTGACATCTCTGTGCTGTGGAGAAACTCACCACATGCTGCTGAAAGAGGAGCTCCAGGGAAAACTTTCTCATGAACCCAAGGACCTCATACTCCAAACTCATCTCCAAAAACTACATCACATTGTCTCTCTTTTAACCTGTTTTTTGAAGAATAGTTATTTTTGAATAAAGATAACTCAAGAAGCTAAATTAAGTCTTGTGTATTAAAGATTCTCTGCTTAACCAAACTTTGATCAAGTTCCTGAATCTTCTAGACCTTGCTGTACACTTGTAAAATAGTTTAGCAAGAACCCTGCTAACAGTTTAACCAAGCACCCCCATCACCCTGGCCTGTCTTTAACAGAAATCCTGCTAGGTTTATTTAGCCAGAATCCCTCTTACCCACAGTGTTTTGTTTTAGTTAATTTTCCAGCCATTGATTCATCCTGCCCCTTGGCTATGAATTCCCACTTGCCTCTTATGTATTCAGAATTGAGCCCAATCTCTCCCACACATCAAAATTCCATTGCAGTGGTCGTGATACTGCTGATAGTCCTCAATAAAGCCTGCTTTCCCATCTATAAAAACTGTCATTGAGTATCTTTTAAAAATACCTTCTTTCTATAATATTTTCCAAGTTAATTTAGGAGGCTACATGCTAGTTCCCATTTTGTAGTCACTACAAACGTTCCCCGAACCTTCTATCTTTTGGAATTGTCTTCAGGATCAGCTGCTAGCCCCACATTTCCTACCTTAAGACTACAGGGAAGAGGACACACTTTAAGAGTAGGGTCTCCGCCGCTGTCAGCATGATGTGCGGTCCCTTTGGAAGAGCAACTGTGAGGTCAAGGTGACAGGACATACAGTGGTCTGCTCTGGGACTAAGGAGTGGAAAGGGCTTTAACTGTGTATCAGGGAGCATGTATCTGGGTCCCAAAGTTAACTTTTTCTCTTAAGTAGAAGGAATACAGTAGAATAAACTACATTTCCAGCCCCGGTCAGATATGCCATTGAGTGAGCCTTTGTCTTCTGGCATCCCTTTGGGGAAGAAACTAAGCTTAACTCCGTCCAAATATCTTGTATTCCCAAAACTCCCCATAGTCTGAAACAGCCACTCACAATTTAGGTGATAAATCCCTTGATTTTCTCTCCCTCTCCCCCCACCTCTCAGAGTTTGTCATACCTTGCGATTCTCTCTAACTCTACCAAAAGCAAACACAGATGTCTTTTATCTCATTTCATACATAAGTGGTAGACTGGCGTTTCCCCCCAAAGAAACTTCATTTCTGTTTTGTCCCAACTTCTGTGACCGGCAAGAAAGGAAGGCAGGACGCAGAAAGGCTGAGCAAGCAGTGTTTATTGCTCTGGGACAGCAGCTGAGACCTAGAGTGGGGTCCTCAGCTACTGCCAACTCAATAAGGGGGAAGGGTCTCATATAGGTCCTAAGCTAGATTTCAAAGGGGTGACTCATCGCTGTGTCCTTGATGTAAGGCCCAGTTCGTTATCACCTTCATCTAGTCCCATCC